TTGTGGAGTCTCCTTCTCTGGAGACATTCAAGACCCGCCTGGACGCCTTCCTGTGTAAAATTGTTTAGGTTCCTGCTCCGGCAGGGGGATTGGACTGGATGATCTTTCGAGGTCCCTTCCAATCCCTGACATTCTGTGATTCTGTGATTCTGTGATTTATGTAGTCAACAGTTATGGTATGGCTTGCTGTAATGACTGGTTTAATCAAGAGCAGTTGTACTTGTTTTGATCACTGCAAACTGAAACCAAAAAGCAGAGAAATTGAGTATACTGTACGTGTAATTAATCTATAGCATTGCCCTTAAGTGCATATGGAAAAGTTTGCACAGAGATACTATGTTGGATCTTATTTTTAAGAGGTATCTATACTAAAATAAATGATGGAATCATAAAGTGGTCAGACACTGGTGGAACGGAAATACCCTTTTCAAAGATACACTAGTGTAACTAGAAAAACTGGAGTGAAGTTGTAGCCAGAAGGTATCAACTTCCACTTCTTCTCATTTCCATACTAGGATACAAGTAAAACTCAAAAATATATCAAGAAAGAGGGTGCATCAGAAGCCAGTCATAAGGTTCAGGAAAACAGAAGTATAGTCCACAACAACGGCTTGAGTTTTCAGCATGGCAAGTATACACGAGACTCCAATCTAATTCAAGGAGAATGTCGGCTGAGTGATGGCAGCCTTAGCCCTGACAGGCCATATGGTGAAACATCCTTGTCTGTACCACTTCATCCAACAAAGAGGCCAGCGTCAAATCCACCCCCTATCAGCAACCAGGCGACAAAAGGTAATGTTTTTCTCTGTGTCCTCTTGCCAGATGGGGGGGCGGGAGGGGGAAGAGACTGGGCAAAGGAGCTTGTAAACATCAAAAAGCTGTTAGATGCAGAAACTGAAAAAAGGACAGACTTAGACCTTGAGGAAAAATAGAAAATGGGCATCCTGTGGACACACAACTTTGGCACAGAATGTGAGGAGGATTAAGGGAGATGTAACTGGGTGTGTGGTCAGATGAAACTTTCATGGTTATTGTTGTGCCTCTGCAGGTGTGTCTATTATGCATTTATTATAGGGAAAAAAAACACAACTATACTCTGAAACACTGGCCTGAATCAGATTTGTTTATAGAGGTGAAGGTTGAAAAGCTGTGACACTTCAAAAATAGTCTGATCATCGTAATATTTAGGTTTTTAGTTTCTAGTTTGTTTTCTGTCATTTACTTTAAGGAAGTAGCTTCCTTGAGCCAAATTCAGGAAGCTCAGTTTAGATTTTCCCCTGCCACACCCACTGCCCTTCCCTAGACTGGAAAAATTTGTAAATAATATAATCACTTTATTTATTATAATAGTAGCCAGAGTTTAGGGAAAACAATTCCTGGCTTTTTACAGTTCTGGTTCCCTGTTTTTTTGCTCCCAAACAGACAAATGAAGAGATTTTTTGGGGTTTTTTTTTTGGGGGTGGGGGTTTTGTTTTGTTATGTATTTTTGTTCTTTTGTTTTTTAAAACTGGTTCAGGTGAAAATTTTGCCTCCTTCAGCTTGAAAACTGGGTTTCATCTCTGTTCTACAATGATAGAAGTGCTTGGTTTCATTTTTCAGGCAAACGTCCAAAGAAAGGAATGGCAACTGCTAAACAGCGCCTTGGGAAGATCTTGAAGTTGAACCGGAATGGCCATGCACGCTTCTTTGTTTAATGTAGCTGCTACTTCTACTACTGCTGTCTTTCCTACACAGACCAGTATTGAGGTCAACAGAGCCTGGAGCTGCTGTTATTCCTCTGCTTGAAGCAGACTTGCATGTACCGTATAAAACACTGCCTGATGAACAAAAACAAGAAAGGAAAAAAAAAAAACAAAACAAAAAACAAACAACAAAAAAACCAACAACCCAATGCTGCATTTTCACTGTGCCACACCTGCTCAGCAATAACCATATGGGAATGGGGAAATCCTGAGAGACATGGACTGTGAGAAATAGTCTCTCATCAGGGCTTGAATATCATTTGTTGCTGGTAGATTCTGATCTAAATAATGAGGGGAAGACGATGAAGGTGGTTTATCAATAATTTATTTCTGATAGATTTTGACAACTTTTAAATTCATTTAAAAAAACTATTTATTTGGAAGACTTTTTTGTGGGAGTTAATAATTTAGATTTAAGAATGTGAAAGTTTTTAATTGTTTTGATAATGTATGTTTGATGCAGTGGAGAGCCACATTAATTGTGATTAGTCTGGACTCCTAAATTTGATATTCAGGTTATAGTCTTAAATAGGGGTGAGATGCATTATTAATTATTTTTTAAATTAAGGCATATCGAATCTTATTTTTTCCTGCTTTTATGTAAGCTATTGGCTGGGCTTCTGTTGACTTGCAAGTTGCATATTCTTTGACAGCTTGATTACTTTTTGACCTGTCCTCTTTTATACAGATTTATTTATTTGATGGACTAGAAGAGACTCCTAAAGACAGAAGAATCTTCTTATGTCAGTCCAGTAGCTAACTTGTTTTAAACTTGCACCCCTTTCCTCCAAATTGGAGTACATACTTTTCCTCCTGATGATCTATCTGTGATGATTTTATTCTGTAAAAAGGCTCCCTGAAATTTTATTTGTACAGGTTATTTAAGACTTGGTACAAAGGAGGGAAACCTAATACATCTTTTTGGAGGAGTGGGGACATCAGTTAAGATAAATGTTTCTTCAGAACAATTACTCTGAAATAACTCGCAAGATACACATTGCAGTCTTAAGATTTGGCATATTACTTAATGTAGCATGGAAGAAGCATTACAATATTATTGTAATTTAAACGCAATTTACTGGAGAGTCAGGAAGGCAGGAGAATGTGTATTGCTTTCAAAGCTGGGCAAGACAGCCAATGAAAAGTCTTAACTGGTGCATATATAAGCATTAAGTAGCTTACTGGTATCAGAATTATCATTTATGTCAGGCTTCATACAGAACTGATAGCAAATGCCGATTCTGAATTATTGTAAATAATTTTGATTTAAATTTGTATTTTTCTGTAATATAAAATTAAATATTTAACTTTTGGGGGATGGGGATGAAGGCAGAAAGGGGAATACTTTTACTTGATTCTGGAAAAGGGGCATTTTGCAGGGTCCAGCCAAACTGAAAACTTTAATATGCTAGTGACAACAATATTATTGGTTGATTGGGGTTTTTTTTGTTTTGGTTGCTAAGAGTAAAAATACTCAGGCATAGCTATTCAAGTCATTGAACTGATTTAACTTTCCATACCAGTTTTTCCTTCCTCCATATTCTATACTGGAATACTTTTCTCTTGTTGTGGTTTAAAAACAAATTCAGTTGGACTTTCTAGAGTATTTGTGCAGAGTTATTTTTATCTAGGCTAGATTATAAATGCCTTCGCAAATTTATGAAGTAGTTCTGATGTCAGGCGTTTCTCATTGTTGCAGGGCCAAAACTCTTTAGCACTATGTTATCCTGTTTCTAAATTGAGAAACATCAAAACATAATGCAACTGCAAATAAGTCAGGCAGCTTTCATGGCTTTACTTCCTCTGGAGTTTGAAAATTATAAATTACAAGTGTTTTTTTGCAGCCCTGCTTTTACATTTTATTGACTTGATTTATAGTTTTGTGTGTGTGCGTGTGGGTGAATTTTTTTTAACCTTTTTTGTTTGCTAATTATCATTTCACAAAAGCATGTTTTCAGTCTTTTAAAATTATTTTTTTAATTTAATGCAAGCTATCAACCTTGTTTAGACTGTTGGGAATGGAGGTAACAAAGGATTTCTAAAAAGCAGAAGATATGCTAAGAGGTACTCTACAGCTGCTGAAAGTGAATATAAATACTTGCTGTTCTCAGGTGCTATGTTTTCCAGATAGAAATAGTTAAAAGATAGTATTTTAACTATCTTTTAGTATGTTCTCACCAAAGTCAAAGAAATAAACTATGTTGTCAATATTAGTTAAAATTATATACCCATATAGATATTCTCTGTGCTTAAGCTTGAGCAAATGGATTAATGCCTTCAGGCTTTGGAAACTGTTTTTGCTTTAGCATATTGAACCAAACTGTTTCCTTCTTGCTGGCTGTATAATTTTTAAGAATAGAAGATTCCAGTTTAGGGCAGCAGTCAGATTCTGAGCAGAAGGAGATACGAGCTCTCTCTCCTCAAAGACAGATTTTTGAGAACACTTAGTTGAAATGTAAGTATGCCAGAATAGAATCTGGAGTAAGGAATTTTAAACTGTGGAATATTCTTTCTTGTGTATGTGACTGGCTTATACAAGTCTTTTTTTCCAACCATCCACATAATTTATCTGTATCTTACTATTGGAACACAGCTGTGGCTGGACCCATATGTATTGTTTCTTATTGGTTTTATTCTTTCTTTACTCTACTTTCTACCTTTTTTTTCAAAGTGGCTCTCCGCTGCCGTGAATTTGTGTAATAGCCTCTTCAGAGGCTGTCAACAGGCAGAGGTTCATTCCCATTTTCTTCAGATATCCATGCTTCCAGCAGAAGTTAATTCTGATGTTCCACCTCAGAACAAGTAATTTAAAAGAAATTGCCACGGTGAACAGTATTTTAAAAAAAAAAGAAAAAAAAAAAGAAAAAGTTAAAAAAAGAAGGGAAAAAAAAAATATCTCCTGGTAGCTCATGAAGAGGATGTGGTGACCTCACTTGCTTTGTGTACTTGTAGGTAGGGATATTTTTATTGTGTTCTAGATGAAAACACTACTGCACCAATCTTTCTGTAGATGGACTGAACCTTGTGGTGTTGTAGTGGAGAGAAAAAGCCCTGTTTTTTTCCTTGCTGGCTCATTTTGGGGTGGAAGAGGGAGGGAGTAGGGAACACTGACTGGACAACAAAGAGAAGTAAGCCTTCTGTGGTAACTTGTTTTCAAGGATAATCTTTTTTGAAAAGTCAGAGACCTTGGATTTGGCATAAAACTTAATTTTTTTTTTGGAGGCAGAACAATAGTAAATGAAATATTGTAGGAGCTTTCCCATTCTCTTAAGTTCTCATGTTCCTGCAATTGAGAAAAAAAAGAAAAAGAAACAAACATGAAAACAGAAAGACCACCTAGAAAATATATCAAAGACTCTTCCAGCAACTTTCCCTTTTCTTCTCCTACTATACTTGCTAATAAACCCTGGCTACAAGGTAGCTTTTGTTGACCTCTGAGGTAGATTACCTATGCAACCCAGAATACTCTACATGAATCCATTCTTAAAGACAATTTTGAAAGGGTTAGATGTTGAGAGTTAAAATTGTTGCTTTCTGATCTCGTGGGGGAGTTTGGGGGTTTTGTTATTTTTGGTGGTTGAAGTGCTTGTGTTACCTTTAGTAGAGATAGAAGAGAGCACAGCGTCATGATCACATCTTAGAAGCTTTAGCTTTCCCTAGGCTTTGCTATATGGCATAAGCTACCTTCATTCACAAGGACATGAAGTTCTAAATGTTGGGAAACTTTTGCAGAGTTTCAGAGTCAGAGCTTTTCTGATAATTGTGGAGACTAAGCAGAACTGAAGCTAGAATGACCTGGTACTAAAGCCTGTAACTAGTGCCCTGTTGAGGCTCCACATGCCCACCTATCCCTTCAGATCCCCACCAAGACCCCCAAATCTAGTGTCTTTCCAGAGTTTCATTCACTTAATACTTCCAGACCATTAAAAGCTGTTTGTAGCTCTGGGGCTGAGTGAGCCCAGAGCTTCTCTTTCACAGAAGAAACATAAATGGAACCAAGGGCCTTACTACTTGTGGTTAAACAAGATTAAAAGCTGCAACATCCATTTTTCCAAAAAAACACTCCAACAAAAAACACCCTAGTAACCCTCTTTATGGGAGCGTATGAGTGATAAATCTTGCAGTGGATGGGAAATATAAGTAGCACTGATAAGGAAATGCATGTTCTTCATAGGCTGCATTTCTGTTTGGAAAAAAATACTTTTTCTACTTTTAATATAAATTAAGCCATAAGAGTTTCATGCTGTGGGAAGGGAATGAAAGGGATCACTTTAAGAGATTATATTGCTATGTATTGTCACTTCTGCTGGGAAATGTCTATTGCTGCCAATGCTTTGGTGAATCTTTTTTTTTAAAAAAACATGGAATTTGAAAAAAAAAGAAAAAAAAGAAAAAAGGGGCTAGTTCTTGGCTATATTTACTAGTTTTGTAGTAATGTTTTGCTGGCTCGTTTGTCCTTTCCTCTCCTTTTTCTACTCTCATAGTCTAATTTCTGTCTTTCCTTCTAATGTCTCTGAAAATATTAGCTAGTCTGCTCAGTAGGGGTCGGTGTATGTGTGTCTTCCTTTTTACAGAAACGCACTACTGTGTTAAGTATTTGGCTGGGAAATGGGATGCTGCAGCTTTAAGAGCATTTTTTTCAATTCATAACAGTATTTCCCATCCTCTTTTGCCTGCAGGCAGGGAAAGTGTATGTACAGTATTTATTTTGTTTCGAATTTACTTTAAATTTGTAAGTTTCTATAAGTAGTTCACATTGATTATTCTAGGGGAGGACAAGTGGCTTTGTTTAAATTTGTATTTGATATTCATAGTTTCCACTTTCTGTACTTCAAAATACTGAAATTAAAAAATTGTATTGCTTATGTTTTGATTTTAGCACTCTAAAGCGTTTAATTTCTTCAGACTTCTGCTCATTTGCTTCAGTGTAAATACAGAAAATTGTACAGAATATCGTTAAGGAGAAGAATGCTTTTCTAGGTCCAATCTCTGTGCCCTTTACTTGTTGCATTTTAAAGAAATTTTCTGGAGAAATGTGAGAGGGAATATACTCGTACTGGTTTTATTTTATTTTTTCAAAGCGCAGATCTCGTTGCAATCCAAGTATATTATATGGCAACTAAATGCATTTTGTGAAGATGTGTATATTCTTTTTGAATCCTAATATAAAAGGGTGGTGGTTTGTGATCCATTATATTAGCAGATCTGAAACTGTAAGAAGAGTGTCAAATGGTATTTTCATGTTTTTTCTCTTGGTTTTTGTTCAGGTTTGTCTTATGCTACTGATGACTGACTCATCTCTTGACTTTTTTTTTTTTTTTAAATTTTTTTTTCACCCCCCTTTAAGTGTGTGCAGTTCCTGGAAG